ATGATAAATTAATGCCATATATTTCACTACCGGGGCTTATCTATAAAATTGCACAGGTTTTCAAATGTATCCTTGTTTAGTGTGACCAAATGAATAACAACGTTTTCGCCGCCATGTTGGATTAATGATCAAAAGCGAATAATAACAATGATACAGATGATAACAGTAACGACGGAACGACCACCTCAATTATTACGGTTGGCGGATGAAAATATGATAACTTGAAAGTCTAGGTGAAATAAAACAATAGACAAACAAAAACAGAATCGTTTTGAACACACTGCTTTAAATTTCACCGACTCATCCTATACAAACGGAACATTCCGTTTTCTATGTTAACGGAAATCCAATCATTTGAAGAGCAATTGTAATTGAATCGGATGGTTTTAGGGCCTTTAACTGTAATTGCAATATCTACAAACAAACAAACATCTTGATATTATCAGTATTTTTCTCACGTGAAGTATTTATTATCGGCATTTTTCGGACGTGAAGTAGTTTTCTTCGGCAGTGGATTTTGAAACACCTCCTTCGGTGTTGCCGTGATTTTTTCCCMTTTTGTCATTTGAGGATGCCAACATATTAAGATTCGTACTACAGTTTATTCAAATGACCTTGTCATTGTGAAAGCCTAAAGCTATWATATCCCTAAAGCGCGCAGGGTCTCATGGGATACCTATATTTCAAATTACTAGGTGTTTCAGTGAAGCACAAAAAAGAGAGAGTACGTCAGCCTGTAAGTATATTTAATGAATCAACTGATGATTAAATTAGTTAAATATCCATCATTCAATCACATGAATTTTATAAATATTATCCGAAATTAACCGTACCCTATATGATTTGTACTATACCAATATCCTGTTGAATCACTACCGTTTTGTCCACTAAGATTTRTACTCGGACAAGTCGCGGGSTAGTCTCCTTGGCAGCCGTTATATGTTTTGGGATCCCTGTCTCACTCCCGTCGTGCTTTGCCGTCTAGAAAATGGCAACGTTGCGCATTGCCTACTCTGTCCGAATCTCCCAAAATACTTCAAACAATAAACAAATACGGCTGCAAAGGAGATTTGCTGCGACATTTCAGTCTTCTTTACAAATAATTCCAGCCTCGTTGTGGTGAAAGAAATCAGTAATTGCACGATAACGAAGCTGTGGTATATTTGAAACATGAACATATTGCCATGCTGTTTGTGTCCCACGGGCAATAATGATCTACGATATTTGTGTTATTTGCTTTTAAGGTACTATTTTAAGGATACATCCGTTTTCAATTAGGTGTAGCACATTAGACAGACGACCGATTTCCTTGYGTACGACATCCTTTAATGGTTTCGCTCGTTTAACGTCTATTCTTGTTTACTCAAAGAAAAACTCTGTTTTTCAACAATAAATCCATGATCTTTCACAACTGACATCGTCAAGCTTTCCAATCAGCCATCCATCTGTCTACACGCATTTCCACACAAATACACTATACAAGATAAAGTACAATATGTCAGTGGGCGAAAATCATGGAATAGATAAAACACATGTGGGATGATGAGATARTAAATTAAGAAGATGACAGTCAGGAAAATTAATCCACGTCAAAACAGACATAAAGAAAAGTCTATACTTAGTTGAGTGGTTTTAGCGCCCAATCATTTCTATATATTTAACTGTTCATTGATTCGAATGTTAATACAAGGGCAAGGTGGAGGTCCGTAAAGATTGGGGGATGGAAAGGATGGGAGAAAGAGAGGGAATGAGAAGGGGAGGAGCACAGTAAATAGGAAGTGGAAAGGAAGAGGGAAGAAGAGATGGAGGGGAAGAGTGGAAAAGGGGAACAGGAGAGGAGGGGAGCTACTAGGAAAACAACCCCACCCCCTGTTAAAGTCCCCATTCTTCTATGGGTTTTAGTCCAAATAATGGGGCGTCCGTAGTAGCGGGGTGTCCATACTAATAGGGTGCCCATAATAATGGGGTGCCCATAATAATGGGGTGTCCATAATAACGGGGTGTCCATAATAATGGGGTGCCCATAATAATGGGGTGTCCATAATAACGGGGTGTCCATAATAATGGGGTG